CATTAAAAAAATCACGTTATCAAGAATATTTTAAAACCATCGACGACTGTTGTGTGCGTACTGCGGCAACGTTTTTCGTATTCTCTCATCAATAGTATTACCAGTCACCGTTTTCATTATCAGTGGTGAAAGAATTGTTTTTCTGATCCAATAATGTACATGCACCGTTGTGGGATAGGAAAAAACGTCAAAATTAAGGAAGACAGTGCTACATGTAGGTGTGGTATGACATCACATCACACGTCAGTTTGTTAGAGGGAGGATCTATATAAGTGTTGGAGAACTTTCTATATACCAATTATTCATCCTTTAGCTATTTTTAGATTTTATTAGGTTGGTCGATAAGTCTTGCAACAAACTGGCTAGAATTTTGATTTTAATATTTTCATTATCTTTTTGTTCCATCATCCAGCACATCAATATCTACAACCTATTGCCAACGCACTAGAAGCTGTTCGATGCCTCTCCTTGTAGAACTCCACTGAATTCTGATCGAAGAAAGATCAGATGTCGATTTTGACATCATCATGGTTAGGATGAGATTTCTTCTCTAGGAGTGGTCTGGAGAGGGGAGCAGGTGGGCATCCTTTGGCACGAGGTCAGGGCTATAAGGTGGATACGGAAGAACTCTCCGTCCGAGAGTCTCGAAATTTTCCTGATTTTCTTAGCAAGAGGTGGTTCAACGGTGTCATAAAAAACTTTGTCTTGCTTTTCTATTTCGTTTTTCTATTTAGTCGTTGCAATCAAGCTTCGTGCGGTTGACTTCCGCGTTGACTGCGACATCTACACGAGGGGTTTCCAGAGCTCAACTCCTCTCGTGTTCCACCAAAAATCCGAGAAGGCCCTACTTGGACGAGGTTGAACTTAAGCAATAAGATCTCCCGAAGCGTTTGAGCTGGACTACCGCCGCTTGTTCATTTGTTAGCACACTGTACCCTCTACTGACAAATGTGATGGATGGTCAATCGAAGAATCCGTAGTGAGTCGACTTGAACATGGCGATGTCAGATCATGCCTGGAGCTTCGGGCTCAAGGCCTGTCTACATTTTCGGATCTTCACAAGTCTTTGGAGATGCCACAGTGCTGTCTCCTTGTCGCATCAGAATTGCTCTAGCAAATGATCGATATACTATCCAGATCCCTTTTCAGAAGCGCCAGCCTCGCCGTTGCACCATGATTTGAGAGAGCGTGCTATCGCCCATCTTTTGGCTTGATCCTTGGTGTATATAGCATGACTTGCGGAACATTCCAAGCAGTACTCGTAAAGGGCACGAGAGCCTTTCGCGAAATCGGTGTAATATCCATAACAAGTAGCGAGACAACGAGCTGGACGGTTGGCTGAAATTGCAAAGGTGGATGCTACGTCAACAAACATGTTGCGGAATTTTCGGAGTTCTCACAAAAATTCTCTAGCATTAAATGTAATTTGTTGCAAGACTTATGGACCAACCTAATAGTATTAGTTAATGAGCCAAATTTATCAATATCAATGTAGATGCCAAATACAATTCTAATGCAATCGCTTCAACAAGAGCTCAAATCGCGCCATTTGCACCATATTCGTGGCCATGCTGTATCTTCATGTTACTTTTTTATTTGTTTGTGATCAATAGTCGAGAAATGAGCTGAAATGAGTTTTGTAAAGCATGGAAAACCTTTGCTAAAGTAAAGCATATCGGACCAATCTTTGGATTTTATGGGTGTATTGAGATGTGGCACATATGTATAACAGAAAATGACAATTGGATATAAAGACAAAAAATCGAGAAAGAGAGCGCGTAAACGAGAAAATGGGAGCCACATTGAGGGCGTGATTTGCATGCGAATCACCTTGTCCTACGCGGCGTGCTAGGATGTCGTCAAAGTGCTCAAATTTAATCTTTTATGGAACAGTGTTTTCTCACACCGCTGAATTACCAATACCGGCTTGGAGCTAAGAAGTCGAGGTGTTTGGCAGACAGCTGCCTAGTTAGTAGAAGAAGCGTGTGGAAATTATCTCACAAAAAATTGTGCAACAAGATTAGCAATTCCAAAAATAATTATCACAACATGAACGACTATTTTGAAAACAGTGAGCTTTCCAGCAAGTTTTGCAATTCGCATGTGAACCATACACGGGAGCGCGTAAGTGTACATCAATCCCGAGAAAGCACCGAAATATCTGGAAAGTTAATCTGTGCTTATTTCACTCAACCGCATACTATAGCATAAAAAATTATACCGAATTATGTTGCCGACTTTAGGGAAATATATCGCTACCAATACACCAATGCACACAACGGTGATATTCAATATCAATACCTTCGCTCGGCTGAAACAGTTCCTCTTAGGAAAATAGAAGAAAAAATCAAGAAAGAACTACTTAGGAAATGCCAAGCATTGGTTTAGAAGCGTCACCAAATTGATTTTTACTAAGAATCTTATTAATGTTTGGTTTTTGAAAGCATAATTGGACCCGTCAGGACTTCAGGGTGTTAGTTATAGTGACACTATCCTGATCGAATCTCGCCCAAAAAAGCGTGCCTATAATTCACTGAGTCGTTTGTTGGTACCAGAATTGTTTAGATGGACCAAACGTTAGCGTCTACATCGACTGCCCTTCACAGTCTACAAGGCTACGCCTAATTCAAGATGCCACTGGGCTTAACATGAAGCAGGAAATCGGACGGCCAACCACAAAAAGCAAACGCCGTACTGCAAGAAATTCATTCTTTCACTCGGTGGAGAGCTTGACAGACATCAACTCAATTCGGTCCTGTGTTAAGCCTTCTGACGGTCCAGCATTTTGATTGTGCCTGCAGTCTTGCCCACTTCCCCTCCGCAACTTTATCGTATTTGCCGCCCCTTAAGATGACCATTCAGAGGGAGAAGCGTGGTGAATAAACTGAAGAAAAAGCCGCACTTCAAACTGCAAAACGACGACAATTCTATTATGATATCAATAATTATTCGATGCACTTCTGTTGCTTTTTGTCCGCCCACAAAAACAAAAATTGTCTTACCCTGGCCAGGGTGTGTCGAATATGGCACAGGAGACTTGTGAACGAATAAGGTACAGAATAAGAGGAAGGATTGTCAAAAGTTGGAAGAAAATCAGTACACGTGCTATAGCGCTCATTGGGTTGCTGGCTTGGAAATTATTAAGCAGATTCTGAAATGGACCATACTTGGAAGTTTGACTAAATTACTTTCTGGCAGACTTACGTACATCAGCAATGCAATTTCTTGGTAAAGGAAATGCTGCATAGAAAGCGAGGGCCACAAAAATGTAGCTAAATCCTACCAGTCCATACCCGATTGTGAGATCTCGTACCTAAAAAAGCATGTGTTAAGTAGTTATATTGCTGTGTGTTTTCGGCTTCGAAGTCGGCGTGGTTGCTCAATCGGTTGCAATCCCCTCGGCAAACTTTCAACCACGCCCACTTCAAAGCCGTTCAGCTCCCTTTCCAGCGGCTTTCCAAGGTGAGTTTTTTGTTCAGTCACACTTTTTATGTTCTTGACTAGGGCTAGCGCATCGTTCCGCGCCATTAGTGTTCAAGGTAAAAGTCTGAACTGTCGTTTTAATTTCTGATGTACGCGAAAATCAAAAAATGTTATGTCATAGATTGCCTTCGATCGCACTGGCTATGGAATATTTGTGAAGTGTGTTTCTGCCCTTTCTACTTTTATGAAAAAGGAGCCCGTTAGCGCTTTCCATAGATGTCTCACTGCTCACATTATTCTCTGGATTCCTTTGATTGCGAAGCATAGTGATGATAGCGTTGTGAATGAAATAAGACATGGTAAGCATTCCAGTTAAAGCAGGAAAATTCCGATTGAAATCTGAAAAACTTCATGAAAGCGCATGAAATCATCGATCAATTATTGTCGATTGGAAAAAGGCATACTGTTGACATAGTTGGGCGATGTTACAT